TATGAAAAACGAATTAACTAAAAAAGGCTACTCTGATTTTAGGTTTTTAGGACAGGGAGTATAGGGATTAGTTGTGTTAGCAAAAGATTCAAAAACTAACATGAGGTATGCCATCAAGGGTGTTTAAGTTAGAGATCTTCATGGAAATATAGACGAAGATCTAAAAAATCGAGTGAAACAGGAAATAGAAATACTCAAAAAATGTAGAGACTCTCCTTATGTAGTCAGTCTTATAGATTAATTTGAGGGATAACAATTTAGTTACTTAGTTCTAAATGAGTGCTAAGGTATAAATAATACTAATTTATTTAAAAATTAATCAATAAATAAATTAATCAAACCCCTTAATTGAAAGTTTATAATACTAAATTAAATACAATAAATAAATAAAAAGGAACTCTCACCTAAATTTTCGAAAGGAACTAAAACAAAAGACTGAATGAAATATCAGCAATCAAATACGCTAATGACATAGCTGAGGGTCTTTACTACATACACTCTAAGAGCTGTCTTGTTAATGATCTGAAAATGGATAATATCTTAATTGACTACCATGGAAATGCAGTTGTTTGTAAATTTTTAACAAATCTAAACAAGCTTGATTGATTTTATATAAAATAAATAGCTGATTTTGGTTTGGCAGATAACCTTATAAACAAATCTGGATATGCTATCAATTAATATGTATGCACTCATATTTTTTTTATCATATTAAAGAGATATTCAAATAATTCAATTCAAAAATTAAAGATGGGAAATTTCTTGTATTAAGCACCAGAGTGTTTTAACCCAGCTGACCAATTCATAGGTAAGGTTTATCATGACGAATATTTAAAATTAGGTGTCAATGTGAAACAAGAGCCAAGCAACAGAGTAAATATTTTATTTAAATGATTTCTCAAAAAGCTAATTAATCTTATTCTTATTAATTTAAATAGAGCGAAGCATGTTCTTTAGGTATTAAATATAAAGCTATTCTAGGATATTATTTCTTGAGCAAGAAATATATATTTAGTAGAATAATATATATTTTTTATTTAATAAAATAAAAAAAATTAAAAGTAATAAAAAAAGTTTTTGAAGCCTGTTTCCGAACCTGATAAAACAAAAAAATAATTAAAAAATTTTTAATCTAAATTTGTTTTTTGATGAAGAAATTAAAATTTTTTATCAAACATTTAATCTTGAATTAATTTGTAAGATGAATGAAAAAAATACATAACTCTAAAATTAAATGTTTGATTTAAAAATTAGATTTATTTCTTCATTAAAAATAAATTAAATCTTTGATTAAACATTTTTTAGTTATTTTTTTTGTTTGTTTGTTTGTTCAGGTTCGAAACCTATTTCGATGGATAGCTATTTTTATTATTTTAAATTTTCTTTAAATTTAAAAAAAAAATACTAGAGAAATAAATAATTTTCCAAGAATAGCAAAAATAAAAAATATATTATTTGTTTTTATTTAATAAAAATCATTAAAAAGGATATCTAATATATACATTAGTCTAAGGAATAAATTTGAATTTAGCATCAAATAAGCACAAACAGTTAAATTATGATGATGAATTTAAAAATTTTGTTTATCACAAATAGCTTAAGTAAATTATTGAAGGATTAACTAATTTTGTTCCAAGGAATAGGATGTCTATTAAGGAGGCTTTAATTATTTTAAAGGGAATTATTTCTTTTGAATTTTAGTTAGATGAGATGCTTATTGAGATGATAGATGGAAACACTCAGCAGTTCACAAATTCACTCAAAAATGAAATTGAGTTTGTTAGAGGTTTGTCAAATAAGTTTTACCCAATCATGTATATTTATTTGTTTATTCTAATCTACCTCTCTTGTTAAATTATTTAAAGTAAAAACGAACAGGCCTTAAACTAAGAGTTAAAAGAAGACCTACAAAAAAGATAATATGTTAATTAGCATATTTCATTCAAGATATCCTCAATTATTCAAAATAAAA